TTTTTTTTTTTTTTTTTTTTTTTTTTTTTTGGTGACAGGGTCTCACTGTGTAACCCAGGCTGCTCTCAAGCTCACAGCGATCCTCCTGTCTCAGCCTCCCGGGTGCTGGGATTACAGGTGTGCTCCACCATACCTGGCTTGTCAATAGAATTTTGAGGTCTACCTCTTGTATATGTCTCTGACTTCCCCTAATCCTCTGTAATCAATCAGATGTGGTTGCTCTCCTTTTATTTATGTTTCAGCATACCTGCGCAGATTACCTTTGTATGTTTATTTTGTATTGTGGTTTCTCAGCCCTCCTCTTACAGGAGGACTTTCATAATAAAATGGACATGTTACATAGCTCCAAAGAGGAGTGAACTGTGTTCACCATCCCAGAAGCCCCCCCATGCTTCTGCTGTCACCACACTTTCCTTAGATACTCACTATGCAGATTTGCATGGCCATCTGTTGGCTTTGCCTACTTCTGTGCTTGATGTGGTGGAAGCATGTGGTGTGTGCTTGTTATCTACCCCGTTCTACTCAGTGCTGCATAAGAACTGTCTATCGTGAAGGCTGTACCATAGGGTCTTTTTCCATTCTTGCCTAATATTCTGAGTATCCACATCACCATTTATCTTTATTCTTGATGACATTTTTGTTTACTATGTTAAAAGTACTGCAGATAATACTGCTGTGTACACTCTTATATGTCTACCAATGCCCAATCAGACAATCGTTTCATGTATGTTCCCTGAATTCTTTATCCCAGAAGTTAAGGCCACCCACATAACTACAGCACAACTAGGACAGAGCATGTGTGCTTAACATGTGTGAGGCCTTCCCTGGGTTTGGTTCCCAACACCGTTAAAAATAAATAAATAGCCAGCCAGAACTGCTAGAATTAACTCAGATTATCAAAAATCATATAATAACGTTTCAAGGCCAGAAATCAAAACTCAAGATATTTAAATAAACTTAAGTATTTAATCTCTAGTGCAAGAGACTGTAATACTGATTATGTCCAAAGCAGGTTGTAAAGAGTTAACTCCATAATTGGCTTGTTTTGAGTAGTGCGTTTGGCAGAAGCCATGCCAAGGTCAGAGTAATTTACAACCAAATTTCCATTTCTACAACTAAAACCTTCTTGGGCCAGGGATATAGCTCAGCGGTTCTGCTGCCTGCCTCACAGGCACAAGGACCTGAGCTCAATCCCCAATACCAAAAACAAACAAAAGAATACAACTAAAACCTTCTTACTAGAAAGACAACGTTCTAATTACACCCACATATTTTGTCTGTTATGTTCCTAATTTGAGAATGCTTTGTCTTATTCTTTAAGAGTCTGGCTTACATTAATTTCCATAGAAACTGTACAGGACTGCACATCTTTACATGTAGTGCTATTTGTGCACATAGCTTGCCTTTACCCCAAGTGATAACCAATAAAAATCAGTGGCATGGACTGGCTGGCTTCTTTGTTGGTTGTACTGGCAGTGGTCATCCTGGCTCACTGCTCTCTGTTTCTCTTAGTTTTGTCTTTTAGATTTTCCTCAGGTTTGTGTCATACACTGAGCAGGAGACTGGAGCCTACTGCAGAGGTACACAGTAATATTTCAGGGGTTCTCAATAGCCAGAACCTCTGACTGTTACTCTGTTTGGAAAGAGCTAAATTAAGGGTCCTGAGATGATGTTGTACTCATCTATCTGGGTAAACACCATCACAAGCATCCCCCAGGAGAGATGGAGAGCAACCAGATAACGAGATGTGAAGATGAAGCAGAGACTGGGTAACATGGCCCCAAGACTGCAGATACTGGGAGAAGCCAGGCAATACCTTATTTTGGAACTCTGGCCTCAGAGTTTGAGAGAATACACGCCTGTTGTTCTAAGCCACTCAGTTTGTGCTCAATTGTTTAAAACAGGCCCGAGAGAGTACTACAGGATTCATGTTAGCCGCTGCTCTTAACTTCTACCACCACTGTCACATCAGAAGACAAATACCCTAGACACTCTGGCACCACTGGACTGACAACTCATTTGTACAGTAACTTTTGAGTCCAGCTCAAAGAAGCATAAAAACACCACACAGTACATTGAGTAAGAGTGCACCTGTTATATGACTCACATATCCACAACTTCCAGCTACCACTGGTTTATAAAACACACAAATCTAAGACAGTAAGTTTAATTCTTATGCATTCCCTTTAGTAACTAGTCCGAGTTCAAAATATTTTTCTATCACTATGAACCCTGATAAGTGAAACAACCTTTTCAACAGATAAATTACAAGAATAAGACACTGTACAAAAGAAAAGGAAAAAAGACAGTAAACCCACCTGATGGAATACTAGCCAAGGATAAAGAGGAATCAACTACCAATCCATACAAATGCATATTGCTAAATTAAAGAAGCCAGTCTTTCACAACATTCAGGAAAAGCAAAACTACAGAGATGGTCAAGAGATGTGCAGCTGAAAGAGGTTGGGGCTGGCTGAGTAGGTGAAGCAGAAGGGGATTTTATAGCAAAAAAACTATATATAATCTCAGTGCTGAATATATTTGTCAAACTTCACTCAATATGGG